AGACAATGGCTGTGAAATTGTGGCTCCTAAACTTTGAAACTTTCTTCATTCCCTACCACTGTACTATCACTGTGGATAATGTCTAATCTTATTATCGTATGTCATATATATATGTACTTAATGTCCTCGAACACTACAGATTTACATATAGACTGTTTTCCTTGCATTCGTAAAATCAATAGCTTTATGAAATTAAGCATTCAGAATCCGATTTCTGCGTACCTTCACTCAGGAAAACAAGTCGCTGGTCAGTAAAACCGAGATCTTTCAAAAGAAGTGGTGGAGTCACATTGAGTTGAGGGAAAGCTTTCATTTCTTCTGCCATGTCTCCAAAACTCTTCCCAGTATCTATGTGAAAGCTGTAATTCAATTATAAGGGTTACTAATTGAGTTACTGTGAATACTGTGAGAACTGCATCAACTTATCACACACACAAATGATTTCAGATGAGATCATTTCACTTAGTCTGTAAAGTAGTGGTTCTAATCTAAATATTCTCTTGGAATTTGTATAGGCTTACTACACTGCATCAATTATACAAATTAATGATCAGTCTGGATAGCTGAGTGACAATTATTACCAATATATCAACATTACTCTGAGCATAAAGTATAATCTGTGCTTTATATGTGTGAATCTGTATGACAACTATCAGTGTGTTATCTTATTATTGCTAATTATATGAGCAGTCATGAACATGAAATGTGATACATACTTCTGCCCAGTCACACTTTCATGAGAAATCCAAAGATGATATGTTTTAATTGACGGGTGAACGCTGAGCAGAATTTTCTCAATGTCAGTGGCTCTTTTGAGTGACGTTTCTTGCAAACACTCTTCAGTGCAGTTTGGAATCTTCTCGCCATCTGAACAGAAGAGAAATTCAAAATAGAACGTCAATAATTACATATCACTCCATGACCAGTAAGTGAGAAAAAACAATGTTTTTAATTGGAGTGAGACGTGACATCAATAACCCCATCAAAAGAGCAAAGACATTTTCATACAGTCATACAATGACTCACTAATTAATTAATCCCTAATAAAGAATATTTATTTTGGTAGAAGATGTTGACCTCCAGCTCTACCCACTGCATTATTTTCAAAGCCATTTGAAGAACCACCACTATTTTTCAGTTGATCTACTTTCCAACCAATGGTCATGAGCTTTGGTTAGTGACCGAAAAAACGAGATTGTGGATACAGGATAAACTGCTGCTCCTTTGTGTTGAGCTGGTCAGGATGCCTCCTGGGCACCTTCCTTTGGGTTTTTAGACCCAGACAATGCTATAGAGATTTTATCTAATCTTGTTTGGGATAGACTCACTGGTCAGTCATTGTAAATAAAACCTGTATTTTGGTACAGCAGTCTCATATCCTGGACTTGTGTATTGACTAAAAGTAGATTCAAACTATTGATTTAAATAATATATTCAACACTTAGAAATCTGAGGAGAAACATATGGTCCATCATATTGAAAATGTGATGTTTCATTGTTAGCAGTTAGAGGTCAATATTAGTTTGTCTAGAGAAGAGTCTATGTATCTATATTCCCAGAGTCCTAAATTCCCTAATCCCCTACTCCTAACCCTAATCTTAGAACTGGGAAATATAGGACCATTTGTCATGTTTCCATTAAATGCCATATAAATCAGAGGAACATGACTGAGAGAACACAGGAATAACCCCATCTGTAGGCTGATGGGTCTCAGTGGTGAATTTTACATAATTACAGCCCCACCCTTTCATTCTTGTTAAAGCCAATTTTACACATACCCTTGACCTTACCGCCCTACCACACCACTGTGAAACTGTAGAGTCTGGTGTGTGTCAGTCAGGTATATGGAAGTTTTCTTTTTTGTTTGCTGCTGAATTTTGTTACAGCAATTACAGTGCAGCCACATATCTCAGGAATTAACTTGGTGTGTAAAATGGTTTTGTGATGGCCAAAACTACTTACCTGGGAACCAGGCAAATCTGCGAACTTGAGTTTTATTTGCTCTGGCAGATGCATTTCCATCAGTACTCGGGCCAATCACAACCGCTTATGTAATATGGGGTGGATTTTATACAATGAGAGCATATAGAGGAGAGTGACCATTATTGGCCATTCAGGCATTTTCATAAATGCAAATTAGTCTGTGGTGCTGGATTACCAAACTACAAAAATAAGAACTCAAACCTAAATACAAACCAAAATACATAAATGGTTTGCAAAATGTGTAGTTGTTAGGTGTGCTCACACAAATCTGCACCAGAAAACATTTTACTTTACCTTTTGATTTTCTGAAGTACAACTGCTCTTTCTGAGGACACCTGGTACTCCAGGTACAGTGACTGGATCAGCAGAAACGTTCTGCCTTTCTTCAGACATCAGAGAAAAATGGTGGCGTAGTTTCTCATGTTCTGATGTCTCTTTTCTGTCAAAATATTAACACAGCATAATAAAAGGGGAATTAGGTAGAAACATTGAACTGGGAAGTCTATCCACTCCTCTGTAACGTTTTTGTATTGCACAAGTTTTTATATGCATTTCCCAAGCAATGGAGAGACCTTTTTAAGACAGGTCCAGATCTAGTGATGTGGGTGGGGTCTGTACAAATTGTTGTTTGCTAACATTGCCTTGTTTAATGTGGGAATTACCTTTTTGCTCTCTGACAGGAGATATGCCCAGCAGTATGTTGAGATACTCAAAGACATCAATGTCCCTCGATTGTCTTTTCTTCCTCGTTTTTGTTCCAAGGCTGTGGCAAAAGCTCTTCTAAAAGAAGCATGTAGAAGCCTTCAACCACTGCGATCTACAGGAAAAGAAAAAAGACATATTGTTACTGAAAGAGGAAAATAACATTTTTCTCAAGGCACATGCTGAAACAAAAAAAATAATGCTGAATTGAAACACTTTTCAAAAAGAACAATGCAAAAGGAAATAAAAGTAATCTTTACACCATCTTGAAATAGTTTAACCTTTCTGATTCTGGATATTTAGTCTCATTCTTTCCCAGAGTAACTGGTACAAACTTTGGGCCAGGAGGGTTACATCCAGTCAGTTTTTCGTATGTAGCCAATCCAAATTCTTGTATGAAACTCCAGTAATTTGTGTTTTTCTAGTGTGGGAAATATAATATATAAATACAAAATAATTACAAACTGTATTGTGCCACATTGTGTTGAATGGGCTTCCAAAATATGTTAATAAAGACAGTTTGAGGGTTCCTTTCTTGGAACTGGATTATGGATCCTACACACACCAACACACACACACACACACACACACACAACACACACACATAGTAATATTACTTCAGGGGCAAAGACAACTTAAAATAATATGGGCTAATCTAGAACAAATGGGAGACAGAACAGGACTGAGTGGTTGGAAATGATTGCAGCAAAGCAAAATAAATATGTGAAGCCAGTTTCAATATATATGCAAATTATTCCACAAAAAATGTATTAATATTCTAACTATTATTACACGGAAACACTGCTTACAATGATATGAAGTGAAGACCAAGAAGACACTGATTCCTTTGAGGTTTGTTTGCACTGGAGGGAAACGACATCATTAGTGAAGAATTCTGGTTTGGTCTGGAACCTCCTCAGTAAACGTAGACAGTGAGAAGAACACCGTGGAACTCCTCTGGAGATTCCACACTTTCCAATGTTGTTTCCACTGCCATGTTCACCTCTTGAAAAATATGAATTTAATAATCACACCAGAATCAGTATCAGTAATTAGGGTCAAAAGCCATACTATGTATTCCTTGCAATAATTCCAGAATTTACTTTGTTAATGAAAGGACATGTCTTGGGATTCCACTTTCACTTGCAAGTTTTTTCTTCAAGATTAGTTATTGTGTCCCTTGGTCAAATCCACCTTCACCTCGGAAGTCCTCCCTGTAGCAAATGTTTGTTTTTTTTAAAACGTGTTTTTTTGGCATTTTGCTTTATTCTGATTAGTGGACAG